TGAACTGCTGTTTGTTTTGTACAGTGGTGCCTTGACTTACAAACGTGTTGACCTACGAACATTTTGACTTACGAACGGAAAATGGCACGGAAAAGGGGTGGGAAATTCAAATAGCCTCGTTGACCTACGAACATTTTGACTTATGAACGGAAAATGGCAGGGAAAAGGGGTGGGAAATTCAAATAGCCTCCCCACGGGGCTCTGGCTCCTGACGTTGGGTCCATCCGTGCTGCTTACTTCCTGGCCAGGCTCCAGGAGGCACAGCCCGGCTGGGAAGCGAGCAGTGTGGAGGGACCCAATGCCGAGAGCAGAGCCCAGCTGGGAGGAGAGGACCCATCCCGGCTGGGCAGCGGTGGCGAAGCCCAGGCTGGGCAGTGGCGGCAGAGGCCTCCCACTGACGGTGGTCTTGGCAGCGGAGGAGCATGGGCAGCTGCCGTGGAAGCCAAGGTGTTCGCTGGCAAGACTTCAAAGCTTCCCATCCCCTACACATAAGCAGGCAATACGATTCCCACCGATTCTCATTTTAATGGTCACCAATGGTGGAAAGGTACAAACTTCAGTTAATGAGACAAAATCCTGTTGTTTACTGTAAAAAGCTGCCAGAGAGTTCGGCCTATTGAATCAGTAGGGATTTTGTTAATGAACGCACTCTTAAGCTCCACAGAGCTGAATGGATTTCCTTTAACTATAAACTATTTTAGCATAATCCCCACTGATTCAGCTACTCTAACTACTTGTAAGTGACAGGGTTTTGGTCTTACGGATGGAACAGGAGCAATGACAGACTGACAGGCCATAAAGCCTTTTGGCCAGAATAAGGACAGGATTTTTAAAGGCTATTAAATGGCTGAGATTAAACTCTCCTGACCAATGTCTGCCGACTGACCTCTTGCACCTGCAGACCCTGCATTTGATGTCCTGGTTTTGCTACCCGTCTTCCCTAGTCAAGGATCTTGAGTCTTTAACAGTAGAATTTCTACCTCCCTTCTCGCTACTAAGAGAAACAAAGATGGTTTCCTAGCTCTTGGTACGGAAAGAATTGGCTCATGACTCCATAGCTGCTTGTATTTACAGTGGGGGAGTGTTGCTTTTTAACACCAGTTAGTCTTTCCTTCTGTGATTTCAATTCAGTGCCTTTTTAAAGATTTTTTTTTTGCTTTTAATTAATTATTTAATTAAAACATGTTTGTTTCTTCAAGCAGCAAATTTAAATCATGATAAGCAACCTGGCCATGACAAAAAGTTTGGGATGGTAGGAACTAAATGTGGAATCTGTTCATATGGTCCAAGGTCTGCAAGACAGAAAGGCTCAGAGGAAAGCCTCCCCTGAAGGGGTCAGTGTGGAAAGCGCTGCTACAGGTCAATTCCCAGCAAGTCAACAGCTCACCCACAAGGAAAAAGAAAAGGGCCCAGTCACAGAAGTGGGGTTAATTGGAAGACTATAAGGGATCTGTGTCCCTGTAGGAGGATCAGTGTGCAGTGAGGAAGTCAGTAGAAACCTCTGCCATAGCTTGAGTCTTCTGGTCACAGGTTGGCCCCAGCCAGCCATGGAAGGAGATGCATGCCTTGACCCCCACCTCCACCCCCTCCACAGCCCCAATGTACCAGGAGCAAGTCCAGAGCTCCTCCTCTCCCCAGAAGCCATCTGTGGTGTGGCAAAATTGCCAGGGAACCACTGCTAGGGACCTGACCAAGCAGCAGCTGCATCAAAGGGAGAGATTTCTGAGAAAAGGAAGACACTAGACTCTTTTATCTAGTCATAAAGCATGTCACCGGTGAAGAAAAATGTCTACCTTCTTCACCCCAGGGACCTTTTTATTGAGTCAGCAAATTTGCATTAGATAAGGGTTCGCCCAAAGAGGCGTTGAGTGGTTATCAGTCTTAAGGCATTCCACAGATGCGCAGAGCAGAATCATAGAACAATGTTGTGCAGAGCAGAATCATAGAACAATGCTTGACTGTTAACAAAGCAGTGCGTGATTTATGCTAAACACTACTGGTGTATCCTTTAGAAGCCACAAGATGGAGCTCTAGACTAGTAAATTCCCACACTGGCAGGTTGAAGAACCTGGTGCTCCTTCCCCTTTCCACACTAACATGTCACAGGAGCTTTTTCTTCATTTTGGTCCATGCAAAGGCAAGCTTACGTTCATCCTTCCTGCTAAGGGACAAAGTAAAGTATGTATTTGTGTGCGTGTGTCTCTGTGTGTGTGCATGTATGCACTATTATTCCATTTCTGTCCCACCTATCTAGTAAAAGAGTACTGCTCTGACTACCTAACAATAAAGCGAACAGATATGACAACTGACTCACAGCAGGTCGCGGCTTTTAAGCTCCAGGGGTTCCTGGATTAGATGGGTTATCTGTATCAATTTCAATCTGGTTCAGGCCTGGTTATGAGTTGGAGGCCATCTTAGTGGATGACCTATACTGGAAACTGGATAAGGGATCTGTGTCCCTGTAGGTTCAGCTGGACCTCTCAGCTGCTTTTAATACTATTGACCATGATATCTTTCTGGGTGGTCTATCAGGAATGGAACATGGGGGGTACTGTTTTACAGTGGCTCTGGTCCTTCCTGTAAGGAAGAACTTAAGAGAGTGGTGCTAGGGGATTCCTGTTCACCACCCTGGCCACCAGCATGTGATCTCCATCAGCATGTTTTCTCCCCTATGCTATTTAACATCTACATGAAACCACTGGGAGAGGTTGTCTGGGGTTTTGGGGAATGGTGTCAATAAGATGTGGATGACATCCAACTCTATTTCTCCTTTACATCTAAATCCGAGGAAATTGTTTAGGTTCTAAATCAGTGTCTAGTGTCAGTAACGGAGTGAAGGGTGAGAGCCTGGTCGCACAGTTGTTGGAAGGATGCAGCTGTGCCACAGAAGCCAAAAGGCATGCAATCGAATTGATAGAGCTCTTAGGTGGTCAAGAAGACTGTTTTATCTCTGTCTTCCTTCCGCACCAAGTAATACCTGATGAGATCCAAGAAGTTGACGAAGTGTGCTTCCCCTAAACTCTCTAAAACCTTACCCACTCAGGGCATTAAGATCTCACAGGTCGATGCAACATTGAACACTGCCATCCAGTTTGGGCACCAGGACTGGTTGCCACATCCATGGGCAATGAATGGCTCTATGACTCTGAGATGGATGACATTGTTCACCTCCCCTTCAATTTCCTGCCATAGCTTTATTGACCCGTTTCTCCTGGAGCACTCTTTGCTACACCCGGGTCGATGTTGATGGCAGAATTCTCCCAGAAGTCAATGAAAATATATCCCAGAAGTCTACCTTTAGTTGAAGCTCTTTGTCAGGGCTACTTGCTTCTGGGACTCCTGCTTTACCAGGACAGCCTCAGGTTCCAGCAAGGCATCTGCTACATTCCCAAATGTAGGGAATGGCCCTTCCACTCCTCTACCAGATTTATATGAAAGTCACAGTGGGTTGTGATGACTGGGCATCTAAATCATGTACTCAATGGGCCCAACACCCTGGACTACCTCAAATGGGCCGTGTCACTGGACAAGGAGCTTTGCTGAGGTGGAGGGGAGTAGATGGACTACCTTTGGTCCCAGCTGGAACTCCTGTGGTTTCAATTTGGTGTTGTAACCATGCCCAAATACCAAATATGAGCCTGAGTGTGGAAAAGTTACATTTTTGAATGGGTCAGTGGCCATCTACCTGAGGCAGGTGGGGTGGGAGGTTCTGTAAAGGACAGTCAAAAAGGAGACATTTCCAACTTCTGAGTACAAAGCTGTCTCCAGGTCTTGTGCATAGGGTGTGAGGAATAGACAGCAAAAAGAAAAAAGAAGGGAAAAATCAGAGTTTTAAAAAGCTATGGGACAGAAAATGCTTTACCCTGGTTCTAAAAAAAGTGAGTAAGAGTGAGAGAGGAGATCAGAGTGGAGAGATAGAGTGTAGTATTTGGGAGATCTGAGGTGTGATTAGAGTGAAAAGTGAATAAGAACTGTAATAACAAATAGAAGGTTGAGATTGATGCTAAAAGAAGTTACCTATGATTAATAATCAAACATCTGTAATCAATAAACAAGTTTTATTTAAAAGACAGTGAAATTGGACCTTCATCTTCATCCTTTCATAATTAATGTTGATTTAGTGATCAATTGGTAACAGTGGGTGAAAAGGAGTAATAGTTTGCCTTTGTGTCCTCTATGTTTGGAGAATCAGGCAAGGGGCACGAGGGGCGAATGCCACAATCTTTTGATAGAATAAAAAAAGCTAAGATCACGGCCACTGGTCCGATCACCTCCTGACAAATAGAAGGGGAAGATATGGAGGCAGCAACAGATTTCACTTTCTTGGGCTCCAGGATCACTGCAGATGGGGACAGCAGCCACGAAATTAAAAGACGCCTGCTTCTTGGGAGGAAACTGATGACGAACCTCGACAACATCTTAAAAAGCAGAGACAAAGGTCCGGATATTCAAAGGTACAGTTTTTCCAGTAGCAATGTATGGAAGTGAAGGCTGACCACCGAAGAATGGATGCTTTTGAATTATAGTGCTGAAGGAGACTCTTGAGAGTCCCCTGGACTGCAAGGCTAAATATTATTGGCTAAATAAAATAATATTCCCTCCTCTTCACTGTTCATAGTAAATCGATATACTTTGTCCAGAAAGTGAATAAGGATCTTGATATGAAGGTTTTATTGACATGGCAAGCATCCAAACTCCAGTATAATTCTTACTAAGTCTATCCCATCGTTCTTAAAGCATAAAACAGAGAAATATTCTCAACCTTTGGTTAAGAAAAGTGCACTATATAATTTCTTTAAAAAGCATTTTCCAACATTAAAAAAAGCCACCACAAACTGATAGGTGACAGATTGTATTCTAATTAGCTTATAAATGCTCCAATACTCACACACTGGCAAGCTGTACTGTATAACGGCTTCAAGGGTTACTTTCATTCAAAATAATTAAATTTCAATCCAAATGTCATTCCCAATAAAATCCTCACCAAAAAAAGGCAGCACTCCAAGAAAATATTTAATTTTACCCATCATGATGAACACTTTAACTACTCCTGAAAGAGGAAGTCTCTCATGTTAATAAGGTACAGTGGGCTCTTTCCACATTCCGCGTAGGTGAAGTAGAATTGCCCTTGGGTTTGTTCATTCTTATAAAGGCCACCACTGTAGGAGCAGCTCCTTCCACGTTCCAAGTATTCATATCGTTTCTCCCCTGTGTGAATCTGATTCATTAGAACCGCATTGTACTTGAGGAGATAAGTTTCGCATTCCCTGGATTGTTCTGCTCCTCCTGTAAATTTTTAGATGTGAAAAAAAAAGATTTGAAGCTTTTCCCACATTCCATGCATTTCTATGGTTTTTCCCATGTGACTTCTTTGATGCAAGCAAGAGACTGCTGACACCTGAGACCCTTTCCATATTTCATGCATTTATATGCTTTCCATTCCATGTGACTTCTTTGATGAAAACTAAGGCTACTGCGTTGACTAAAGCTCCTTCCACATTCCATGCATTTGAATGGTTTCTCCCCAGTGTGAGTTCTTTGATGTGAACTCAGGGTACTACTTTGAATGAAGCTCTTTCCACATTCCATGCATTTATATGGTTTCTCCCCAGTGTGAATTCTTCGATGTGAACTAAGTTGACCGCTCTGACTGAAGCACTTGCCACATGCCATGCATTTATATGGTTTCTCCCCAGTGTGAATTCTTCGATGTGAACTAAGTTGACCGCTCTGACTGAAGCACTTCCCACATTCCATGCATTTATATGGTTTCTCCCTAGTGTGAGTTCCTTGATGTGAACTAAAGTGACTGCTCTCACTGAAGCTCTGTCCACATTCCATGCATTTAAATGGTTTCTCCTCAGTGTGAGTTTTTTGATGGCAACTGAGGCTACTGCTGTGAGTGAAGCACTTGCCACATGCCATGCATTTATATTTTTTCTCCACTGTGTGAATTATTTGATGTCTACTCAGGGTACTGCTCTGATTGAAGCACTTCCCACATTCCATGCATTTATATGGTTTTTCCCCAGTGTGAATTCTTTCATGTTTACGAAGGCTACTGCTATGAGTGAAGCTCTTTCCACATTCCATGCATTTATATGGTTTCTCCCCAGTGTGAATTCTTCGATGTGAACTAAGTTGACCGCTCTGACTGAAGCACTTCCCACATTCCATGCATTTATATGGTTTCTCCCCAGTGTGAGTTCTTTGATGGGAACTAAGTTGACTGATGTGACTGAAACTCTTTCCACAATCCATGCATGTATAAGGTTTCTCCCCAGTGTGAGTTCTGTGATGAGAACTGAGATTACAGCGCTGACTGAAGCTCTTTCCACATTCTATGCATTTATATGGGTTTTCCCCAGTGTGATTTCTTTCATGTTTAGTCAGGGTACTGCTATGAGTGAAGCTCTTCCCACATTCCATGCATTTATACGGTTTCTCCCCAGTGTGAGTTCTTTGATGGGAACTCAGGTGACTGCTCTGATTGAAGCTCTTTCCACATTCTATGCAAATAAATTGTTTTTCCCCAGTGTGAATTCTTTGATGTCCTAGGAGGGCACTGCTCTCATTGAAGCTCTTTCCACATTCCATGCATTTATATGGTTTCTCTCCAGTGTGAATTCTTTCATGTTTACGGAGGGCACTGCTCTCATTGAAGCTCTTTCCACATTCCATGCATTTATATGGTTTCTCTCCAGTGTGAATTCTTTCATGTTTACGAAGGCTACTGCTCTCAGTGAAGCTCTTTCCACATTCCATGCATTTATATGGTTTCTCCCCAGTGTGAATCCTTTCATGTTTACGAAGGCTACTGTGGTCACTGAAACTCTTTCCACATTCCATGCAATTATATGGTTTCTCTCCAGTGTGCGTTCTTTGATGGCAACTGAGCGTACTGCTCTTTCTGAGGCTCTTTCCACACTGTAGGCATTTGTATTGTTTCTCACCTCTCAGGGATTTGTCACGTGAAGTACTTTCACTGTGCATCATTATGCTCTTTCCTTTTTCTATGCATTGACTTTCTTTCTCCTCTGGGTTGACTGTGTCAAGTCTATTGACATCTGGGGAACCCTGGAATCTTTATCTGCCCAGGGAAACTTTTGTCTTTTCTTTTCCTTGTTGATTTTTTCACGTGATCAGAAGTGCATCAAATTCAATAGCACGAGAAGCTGGAGTTTTCTGTATCTCTCTTTTTTTCCCTGGCTTCAATTCTTCCCTTTTTCTCCTTTTAAGTGTATAGAAATTTTTTGGTGCTCCACACTTAGGTTTTCTTTTCAATGAAAGAGTGACTGGCTCCATAGATTTCCCGTTGTCCTATTCATCACCTAATGGGGAAAAAAAAGACATGAAAGAGGAGTGCAACGTGAAAGAAATATCCTATTTGTTTTGACGACTTCAAATCCCCAGGGCCGGATGAAGTGTATCCAAAGATATTGAAGGAACTGGCAGAACAAATTGTAGAACTGCTGTCTAATATTCTCTTGTTATTATGGGAGATGGGTGATCAGCCAGACAGGTGGAGGGGAACTGACCCTGTCCCTAACTTCAAAAAGGGGAACCAGGGATTTACAAATTAGTCAGCCTAACATTCATCTCAGGGAAAATTCTTGAGCCGATTACAAAGCGGACACTCTGCAGGCAGCTTGAAAACAATGCAGTGAGAACCAAAAGCCAACACAGAAAGAAGGAAAGAACTCGGATTGTTTGGCTATGAGAAAAGGAGCCTGGGGGAAGAGACGTGATTCCCCCCCTTTGCCCCCCCCACATGGCGGAATGGTGCTACTTTGTATTGTCTTTGATTTGTTATTTGTTTTCTTTTGGGTTCTGTCTATTTTTTTACCTCACTGCATCCTAATTTCTACTAGACTTACCTAATTGGAGAACTCCTCTTCACCCTCTCATGGGACGGCTTCCAGCATGAAAGCTAGTCCGTGTCCATCTAAGGACAAAATGATCCAAAGCCGGCATTTCGACAAGCAACAAAAATGACTGTCAGAGGGACGGAATCTCAGGGGGTGAGTGAAAACCTTGGGCTGGGTGTTCTTCTAAGAAGATCACGGGAGGTTCTGAGTGGTTCCCCCACTTGACAGCGGTACTGTCGCTAACATCCAGAAAATTGCACACACTAAATGATCAATTCATGATGGACAGTCTAATCTCTTGGGACTTAGCCAATTCGATTTCTGAACAGGAAGGACTTTTAGAGTCCTGTCAACATCCTGGATTAACCTCTCATTTGAATCTCTGTTTTAAATTTTGGATTAGGCTCCCACAACGCAATGCTGATACTACCGTAATTTACAAAAATTGATGAAGGCTCAGAAGATGTTCGGACCGAAGCCCTAACATTGTTACCATCTGTTCTAAGGACAAGATTTATAGGGCATTTTCTTTTAACAGCGTAATGAGACTTTAAATTTGATAGGATATCAAAAAATTTCCCTCTGGGATTTCTAGATACACTGCTTATCATGGAGAGGGAAGGCAAAAGATTCTGGTTTGGATGTATTTGAAACGTCCTGTGGACATGAAAGAATGTCCAAGATGACAAGGAAAAGGAAGTTGGATACTTCCTGTCCTCCCTGCCTCAGAACCACTGCTGCTGGTAAATCCCATGTGTAAATTGCCCTTCAGGTCACACAAATCATGATTTCTTAGTGACATAGTTACCAACAGGAATTGATATTGTCAGAGAGGTGGTGTGGTAGAGGGGGTGAAATTGACCAGCATTAGCATTTCATTGCCGAGAAAAACTGCTTGAACCACTTGCTCCTTCCACAGGGACTTCAGAAGATTTGCTCATTGCTTGTTACGGGAAGTGCTGGAGCATTCAAGAATGGATTGTAGTGGAGGGAGGAAGTTGTACTTAATGGATGGAATGGTTCAAGTTTTAATCTAAGTTTGATTATTTAACCTATCTAATACATCCATCTTATGAAATCCAACTTGGATATCCAAGTTTAAATCTCACTGAGTACTGTTTTTGCTTTGCTATCACTTGGAGTGGGTGGGGGAGATGTAAATTAACCTGGAAATTTAGATAATAATTATTGACCCATTATCCCTGGGTCATTATCCCTGAATTATTGACCCTGAATTATTGACCCATTATCCCTGGGTCATTATCCCTGAAGAGGAAGCGGAGGCAGGAGGGAGCTGTGCTTGGGGGCCATTTTAGTTGGTGTGATCTTTTCTGGTAGGCTGACCCTTTGACCGCATGGTCTGAGGGGGCGTGGCTTTGCCTTTAAATTAGTGCCAGCAGAAGCTGAGAATGAGAAATCCCCTCATTCTATTTTTTACTCTAATCTGCTAAATGGGATAGCCAAATAGCATTTCACACACCTGGTGGCAGGAATGTTTCAGGAGTAGGGTCATACTTCCACACTATTAGGTAGCAGAGCGGGTAGGTGGGACTCGTCAGCCATGTAAGGCAGCCCATCTAAGAGAAGGAAAACTCTGATTTCAAACCTCCACTGCCTTGTGGCTATATCCACTGATGGAAAAGGCTTCAGGAGATAACCTCGAGGCAAAATCCGGAGCCGGACTCCCGTAGACAGTTCGTGTTGTTCTGCCAACTCCTGCGACGTCGCTGGAACCAGTTGTATTGGCTCTTGCCTCTCCATTGGACTATTTCAGTGACGTGGAGAGGGGGGATTTGCTGCTTGGGTAACAGCCTATCCTCCATATTATTCTACCCAGGCTTCGTGCTCTGGAGAGGACACTCCAGCTTTGCATACAGTGTCGAAATAACACAGGAACTAGCAGTTACTGGTTATACGTTTTGCTCGATTGGCATAGAGCATGATGCCAGGGGCTACTTCTGATGGTGGGAGAGCCGAAAAACAGATCAATAACCCTGCACCATGCAACAATCAGAAGAAAACATCTGCCCTAAAGCTGGGAACCTGGAATGTTCGGACAATGACCCCTGGCTTTTCTGACAAC